ATCAAATGAGATCAAAGGTAACAACATACGACCATCTAAACACGTATTCATAACAATCAAACAAGCAAAAGCACAAGAAATGTTACAACAATTCAATTATTTGTTCATGACTTCATGGGGGAAAACTAAGCAAATTTCATGGTAACAACTAAGTCAAAAATCAAACCCTATCATGTTATGGTTCTAACGAGATACATAAACAAGTAGAATGAGGCATGAAAAACATATTCAATAGGTTACAACAACAAGAATCATGGTATGAATCACAAAGAAGTTCAAGGTATTCCATCCACATTCAAGCATTCACAAAGACTAGAAACTAACCGTAAACATATTATGGTTCTAACAATACACATAGACAAGTAGAACCAGACATGATAAATATTTACAAGAGGTTACAACATCAAGAATCATGGTATAGGTCACAGATGAAGTTCAACAGGCCATTTTCACATATATGCATTCACAAAAGCAAGCATGAACATAGCAAGGAAATAAATCAAAAAAAATTGAACATTTAAACATGTTAACAAAAATATATGAATCATAAAAGATAAATCTCATTGACATAATATACGTTATTATTATTAATTTTAATATAAGGTAAACTTTATTGACATAATATATGTTACTATATTCAATGACTGGATGTTGAATTTTATTGACATAATATATGTTATTATTATTATTTTCAATACAAGGTGAACTTTTATATTCATATATATGATAATAAAAGTCATAAAATATTTTATATTAAGTTTAACTCTATTCAATTAATCTTGTTTGGTATATATTATTGACTGATTAATATAATCGTATTTACACAATATTTTTAAAAAGATAATAATTTAAATTTAACTTTTGTCAAATAAAAGAAAAAGTAAATGTGAACAAATTTATTTTTATTTAAAAAGTAAATGTGAACAAATTTATTTTTATTTAAAAGAAAGAGAAAAAAAACAATTAACAAATTTATTTTTATTGACAATAAAAGTCTAAAAACTGAAATGAGGGACATGTGTGCCAAAGAAGTTCAATGATTCAAAGTATAATCATTATGCATATATTTTTGTGAAAATGATATAGTAGTTAAATGTATTTGGACATGATTATTAGTATATAAAAGAATGCTCTTTGGTTCATTTGAAACAAAAAAAATGGAGAATTTGACGACAAAATCAGGTGGTGGTGGTGGTAGTGGTGGTACGACAAGGTTCCTAGTGAAAACTTACCATATGGTTGAAGATTTATATACTGATAATATAGTATCACGCAGTCAAAGCAACAATTGTTTCATCATTATGGATCCTGATGAATGTGTTAACAATCTTAGCAAGTATTTTAGACACAACAATTTCTCCAGCTTTGTCCGTCTGCTCAATACATATGTATGTAATATATTATTTTTATCTTTGAATTAATATGCCTAAACCTCAATTATCTTTTGTTATTTTTCTCATAGATTTCTTTAACCATTTCATTTGTTATTTTTAAACGTTGGTTTATGCTTTAAATATGGAATCTCTTTTGTCTCAAAGTTTTTTATTTAGACTATATCGATCGAGATGGTTTTTGCACTATACAAATTTGATGTCTAATTTGTTATGGTTCATTGTTATGTGTTTCAATGCCAGGGATTTCACAAAATAAACATGATCAATGGGAGTTTTCTAATGAGTATTTTTTGAAAGATCAATATTATCTTCTTGGTAATATTCACCGCAAGAAAACTGTTCCCAATCACTCTCTTGGAGAAGTAGAAAGGCTTGTATTTGAAGAAGAAATTGAGAAACTTGCTAACGAAAAAGCCTCAATTGAATTAGATATTTCTAGCTTCAATCAGTATATGCCAACTAAAAAGCTTTATATGGTTAATCTAGTGCAAAGATTAGAAGCATCCGGGTATAGGCATAATAATTTAAAGAACTCGTTTGAATTGGTTCTTCAAAATCCTAAATTCGTCACAATAAAAAAATAAGAAAGTTGAGTTCATTTTTTGTAAATATTTTCTCATAAAAGGCATTTTATTGATGCTGGCGAAAATTCATTTTTTTACAAGAGTAGCAACTTTGGATTAACGGAAGTTGAAAATAGTTTGGCTAATAATGATAACAACTTTGGATTGATGGAAGTTGAAAAGGATTTTGCTGACAGCGATACCAATTTTAGATTTATGGATTTTTGAGATTTTTTTTATGAGAATTATAGCAACTTTAAATTTATGGAAGATGGAAAAACTGCACAGATAAGGTTACCGGTGAAGGAGGATTACCATAAGAAACCTAGACAATAACAACTTTTAGATTAGCATCTGACAAAGAGGGTAGAATAAAGAATGTGATGGTGGAGGAACATTTTCAATAGGAATTAGAATAGTGTCGTTACTAATTACTATTTGTAAAAATATGATTTAAAGTTGATCGATATGTAAAAATAAACTCAAAGGATCAATAATAAATGTGTTTGACGTGTTTTTTCAAAAAGGTATAGTATTTTTTAATAAATTAATTACTTTTTTGATATTTTATAATAATAAAATAATTACTATTTTTTAAACAAAAACTTATGAGGATAAAATCAAAATTCAAACCAAACACGTTCAAGTGTTTGCTTCTAACTTGATAGTAATATGTTGTTTTTAGAGAACATTTCTAGTGTTTTTTCAAGTGCCTCTATATACATAATAAGTGAAGATGATAATAATTGTTATGACAAGTGAGCGTCGTGGATTCCATCCATAATTTATGGTATTTAATAGGGAAATTGTCGAAGTTACATCAAGAAAGTAGTTTATAGTGAATTACAACCAAGACCACATCCTTAGAGCAACTCGACATTTTAGGGAAAGATGAGTGTTGCAGTGAGAATCAGATGTCAAGCTATTGATTAAATTGAATCTTAATTCATTAAATTCACAACTGGAATTTGATTTATTCAAAGGAAAGGTTAAAGAAGAAAGAACTTTTACGCGATGTAACAACAACGCTAAGAGATTCGGGGATCGGGGGTTGGTTATGCTTAGGGTAGGTATTTCACATCCTAAACATCTGTAGTACTCTACAGGAACATTTTGTATGTTTGTATGCTAAATTACTACCTATGGTTTGAGATCAAGGTTAGGGTTTTGAGGTAAATACCTAGGGTTGATGTTTCTAAGTTTGCTCATAAAAATATCACATCTTCTGCCTACGTATCATAACTAGGAGATAATCAGAGCAATCGTAGTTCACCTCACCGAGGGTGGATGAACACTTGATTATGATCAAGGTTCAAAGGCCAAAAAAAGATGACAATGCTTTTATAGAGTTTAACAAAACTCTCTATTCTAAGTTGTACAGTCAAGGGATTGACTTTGACAAAAGCGAGGAGGGGAGTAAGTAATCATGACAATGATCCTTACATAGAGTTGACAAACTCTAACAAAGGGTTCTAGTTGAAGAACACTCCTAGTAAAGGTGATTCTTTTATACTTAAGAAAAGTCTAATGGCTAGTAGGTTCTAACTTAGATAAGCTAGATTTCAAGTTGACCTAACAAAGTTGAAAGGTGGTAAAGAGCATCTATGACCCTGTAGGTCAATGAAGAAACTTTCCTCTAGAATAGGAGAAAGACGGGGCAACTGGATGAGAAATAACAAGTTCCATCACTTAGGGAAGGCTTAACACAGTTAGAGAAATAAGAAAGAACATATAAAGACATATGAACAATAGTCAATATTAACATAAAGACATAGAGGTAACGACCATACATGCAAACACAAAACATGTGTAACAACAAGTTCATCTATAACATTCAAACAAGATTGATGCAAACAAGTTACAACTTGAAGCAAGCATGTTATAAGGATCAAATGAGATCAAATGTAACAACATATGACCATCTAAACACGTATTCGTAACAATCATACAAGCAAAAGCACAAGAAATGTTACAACAATTCAAGTATTTGTTCATGACTTCATGGGGGAAAAGTAAGCAATTTTCATGGTAACAACTAAGTCAAAAATCAAACCCTATCATGTTATGGTTCTAACAAGACACATAAACAAGTAGAATGAGGCATGAAAAACATATTCAATAGGTTACAACATCAAGAATCACGGTATGAATCACAAAGAAGTTCAAGGTATACCATCCACATTCAAGCATTCACAAAGACAAGAAACTAACCATAAACATGTTATTGTTCTAACAATACACATAGACAAGTAGAACAAGACATGATAAATATTTACAAGAGGTTACAACATCAAGAATCATGGTATAGGTCACAGATGAAGTTCAACAGGCTATTTTCACATGTATGCATTCACAAAAGCAAGCATGAACATAGCAAGGAAATGAAACAAAAAAATTTGAACATTTAAACATGTTAACAAAAATATATGAATCATAAAAGATAAATCTCATTGACATAATATACGTTATTATTATTATTTTTAATATAAGGTAAATTTTATTGACATAATATATGTTACTATATTCAATGACTGGATTTTGAATTTTATTGACATAATATATGTTATTATTATTATTTTCAATACAAGGTGAATTTTTATATTCATATATATGATAATAAAAACCATAAAGTATTTTATATTAAGTTTAACTCTATTCAATTAATCTTGTTTGGTGTTATTATTGACTGATTAATATAATCGTATTTACACAATATTTTTAAAAAGATAATAATTTAAATTTAACTTTTGTGAAATAAAAGAAAAAGTAAATGTGAACAAATTTATTTTTATTTAAAAAGTAAATGTGAACAAATTTATTTTTATTTAAAAGAAGGAGAAAAAAAACAATTAACAAATTTATTTTTATTGAAAATAAAAGACTAAAAACTGAAATGAGGGACATGTGTGCCAAAGAAGTTCAATGATTCAAAGTATAATCATTATGCATATATTTTTGTGAAAATGATATAGTAGTTAAATGTATTTGGACATGATTATTAGTATATAAAAGAATGCTCTTTGGTTCATTTGAAACAAAAAAAATGGAGAATTTGACGACAAAATCAGGTGCTGGTGGTGGTAGTGGTGGTACGACAAGGTTCCTAGTGAAAACTTACCATATGGTTGAAGATTTATATACTGATAATATAGTATCACGCAGTCAAAGCAACAATTGTTTCATCATTATGGATCCTGATGAATGTGTTAGCAATCTTAGCAAGTATTTTAGACACAACAATTTCTCCAGCTTTGTCCGTCTGCTCAATACATATGTATGTAATATATTATTTTTATCTTTGAATTAATATGCCTAAACCTCAATTATCTTTTGTTATTTTTCTCATAGATTTCTTTAACCATTTCATTTGTTATTTTTAAACGTTGGTTTATGCTTTAAATATGGAATCTCTTTTGTCTCAAAGTTTTTTTATTTAGACTATATCGATCGAGATGGTTTTTGCACTATACAAATTTGATGTCTAATTTGTTATGGTTCATTGTTATGTGTTTCAATGCCAGGGATTTCACAAAATAAAACATGATCAATGGGAGTTTTCTAATGAGTATTTTTTGAAAGATCAATATTATCTTCTTGGTAATATTCACCGCAAGAAAACTGTTCACAGTCACTCTCTTGGAGAAGTAGAAAGGCTTGCACTTGAAGAAGAAATTGAGAAACTTGCTAACGAAAAAGCCTCAATTGAATTAGATATTTCTAGCTTCAATCAGTACATGCCAACTAAAAAGCTTCATGTGGTTAATCTAGTGCAAAGATTAAAAGCATCTGGGTATAGGCATAATAATTTGAAGAACTCGTTTGAATTGGTTCTTCAATATCCTAAATTCGTCAAAAAAAATAAATAAGAAAGTTGAGTTCATTTTTTGTAAATATTTTCTCATAAAAGGCATTTTATTGATGCTGGCGAAAATTCTTTTTTTTTTTTACAAGAGTAGCAACTTTGGATTAACGGAAGTTGAAAATATTTTGGCTAATAATGATAAAAACTTTGGATTGATGGAAGTTGAAAAGGATTTTGCTGACAGCGATACCAATTTTAGATTTATGGATTTTTGAGATTTTTTTATGAGAATGATAGCAACTATGAATTTATGGAAGATGGAAAAAGTGCACAGATAAGGTTACCGGTGAAGGAGGATTACCATAAGAAACCTAGACAATAACAACTTTTAGATTAGCATCTGACAAAGAGGGTAGAATAAAGAATGTGATGGTGGAGGAACATTTTCAATAGGAATTAGAATAGTGTCGTTACTAATTACTATTTGTAAAAATATGATTTAAAGTTGATCGATATGTAAAAATAAACTCAAAGGATCAATAATAAATGTGTTTGACGTGTTTTTTCAAAAACGTATAGTATTTTTTAATAAATGAATTACTTTTTTGATATTTTATAATAATAAAATAATTACTATTTTTTAAACAAAAACTTATGAGGATAAAATCAAAAATCAAACCAAACACGTTCAAGTGTTTGCTTCTAACTTGATAGTAATATGTTATTTTTAGAGAACATTTCTAGTTTTTTTCAAGTGCCTCTATATACATAATAAGTGAAGATGATAATAATTGTTATGACAAGTGAGCGTCGTGGATTCCATCCATAATTTATGGTATTTAATAGGGAAATTGTCGAAGTTACATCAAGAAAGTAGTTTATAGTGAATTACAACCAAGACCACGTCCTTAGAGCAACTCGACATTTTAGGGAAAGATGAGTGTTGCAGTGAGAATCAGATGTCAAGCTATTGATTAAATTGAATCTTAATTCATTAAATTCACAACTGGACTTTGATTTATTCAAAGGAAAGGTTAAATAAGAAAGACCTTTTACGCGATGTAACAACAACGCTAAGAGATTCGGGGATCGGGGGTTGGTTATGCTTAGGGTAGGTATTTCACATCCTAAACATCTGTAGTACTCTACAGGAACATTTTGTATGTTTGTATGCTAAATTACTACCTATGGTTTGAGATCAAGGTTAGGGTTTTGAGGTAAATACCTAGTGTTGATGCTTCTAAGTTTGCTCATAAAGATATCGCATCTTCTGCCTACGTATCATAACTAGGAGATAATCAGAGCAATCGTAGTTCACCTCACCGAGGGTGGATGAACACTTGATTATGATCAAGGTTCAAAGGCCAAAAAAAGATGACAATGCTTTTATAGAGTTTAACAAAACTCTCTATTCTAAGTTGTACACTCAAGGGATTGACTTTGACAAAAGCGAGGAGGTGAGTAAGTAATCATGACAATGATCCTTACATAGAGTTGACAAACTCTAACCAAGGGTTCTAGTTGAAGAACACTCCTAGTAAAGGTGATTCTTTTATACTTAAGAAAAGTCTAATGGCTAGTAGGTTATAACTTAGATAAGCTAGATTTCAAGTTGACTTAACAAAGTTGAAAGGGGGTAAAGAGCATCTATGACCCTGTAGGTCAATGAAGAAACTTTCCTCTAGAATAGGAGAAAGACGGGGCAACTGGATGAGAAATAACAAGTTCCATCACTTAGGGAAGGTTTAACACAGTTAGAGAAATAAGAAAGAACATATAAAGACATGTGAACAATAGTCAAGATTAACATAAAGACATAGAGGTAACAACCATCAATGCAAACACAAAACATTTGTAACAACAAGTTCATCTATAACATTCAAACAAGATTGATGCAAACAAGTTACAACTTGAAGCAAGCATGTTATAAGGATCAAATGAGATCAAATGTAAAAACATATGACCATCTAAACACGTATTCGTAACAATTAAACAAGCAAAAGCACAAGAAATGTTACAACAATTCAAGTATTTGTTCATGACTTCATGGGGGAAAAGTAAGCAAGTTTCATGGTAACAACTAAGTCAAAAATCAAACCCTATCATGTTATGGTTCTAACAAGACACATAAACAAGTAGAATGAGGCATGAAAAACATATTCAATAGGTTACAACATCAAGAATCACGGTATGAATCACAAAGAAGTTCAAGGTATACCATCCACATTCAAGCATTCACAAAGACAAGAAACTAACCATAAACATGTTATGGTTCTAACAATACACATAGACAAGTAGAATGAGATATGATAAATATTTACAAGAGGTTACAACATCAAGAATCATGGTATAGGTCACAGATGAAGTTCAACAGGCCATTTTCACATGTATGCATTCACAAAAGCAAGCATGAACATAGCAAGGAAATGAATCAAAAAAATTTGAACATTTAAACATGTTAACAAAAATATATGAATCATAAAAGATAAATCTCATTGACATAATATACGTTATTATTATTAATTTTAATATAAGGTAAACTTTATTGACATAATATATGTTACTATATTCAATGACTGGATGTTGAATTTTATTGACATAATATATGTTATTATTATTTTCAATACAAGGTGAATTTTTATATTCATATATATGATAATAAAAACCATAAAGTATTTTATATTAAGTTTAACTCTATTCGATTAATCTTGTTTGGTATATATTATTGACTGATTAATATAATCGTATTTACACAATATTTTTAAAAAGATAATAATTTAAATTTAACTTTTGTGAAATAAAAGAAAAAGTAAATGTGAACAAATTTATTTTTATTTAAAAAGTAAATGTGAACAAATTTATTTTTATTTAAAAGAAGGAGAAAAAAAACAATTAACAAATTTATTTTTATTGAAAATAAAAGACTAAAAACTGAAATGAGGGACATGTGTGCCAAAAAGTTCAATGATTCAAAGTATAATCATTATGCATATATTTTTGTTAAAATGATATAGTAGTTAAACGTATTTGGGCATGATTATTAGTATATAAGAGAATGCTCTTTGGTTCATTTGAAACAAAAAAAAAATGGAGAATTTGACGACAAAATCAGGTGGTGGTGGTGGTAGTGGTGGTACGACAAGGTTCCTAGTGAAAACTTACCAGATGGTTGAAGATTCATATACTGATAATATAGTATCATGCAGTCAAAGCAACAATTGTTTCATCATTAAGGATCCTGATGAATGTGTTAGCAATCTTAGCAAGTATTTCAGACACAACAATTTCTCCAGCTTTGTCCGTTTGCTCAATACATATGTATGGTATATATTATTTTTATCTTTGAATTATTATGCCTAAACCTCAATTATCTTTTGTTATTTTTCTCATAGATTTCTTTAACCATTTCATTTGTTATTTTTAAACGTTGGTTTATTCTTTAAATATGGAATCTCTTTTGTCTCAAAGTTTTTTATTTAGACTATATCGATCGAGATGGTTTTTGCACTATACAAATTTGATGTCTAATTTGTTATGGTTCATTGTTATGTGTTTCAATGCCAGGGATTTCACAAAATAAACATGATTAATGGGAGTTTTCTAATGAGTATTTTTTGAAAGATCAATATTATCTTCTTGGTAATATTCACCGCAAGAAAACTGTTCACAGTCACTCTCTTGGAGAAGTAGAAAGGCTTGCATTTGAAGAAGAAATTGAGAAACTTGCTAACGAAAAAGCCTCAATTGAATTAGATATTTCTAGCTTCAATCAGTACATGCCAACTAAAAAGCTTCATGTGGTTAATCTAGTGCAAAGATTAGAAGCATCTGGGTATAGGCATAATAATTTGAAGAACTCGTTTGAGTTGGTTCTTCAATATCCTAAATTCGTCAAAAAAAATAAATAAGAAAGTTGAGTTCATTTTTTGTAAATATTTTCTCATAAAAGGCATTTTATTGATGCTGGCGAAAATTCTTTTTTTTTACAAGAGTAGCAACTTTGGATTAACGGAAGTTGAAAATAGTTTGGATAATAATGATAACAACTTTGGATTGATGGAAGTTGAAAAGGATTTTGCTGACACCGATACCAATTTTAGATTTATGGATTTTTGAGATTTTTTTATGAGAATGATAGCAACTTTGAATTTATGGAAGATGGAAAAAGTGCACAGATAAGGTTACCGGTGAAGGAGGATTACCATAAGAAAGCTAGACAATAACTACTTTTAGATTAGCATCTGACAAAGAGGGTAGAATAAAGAATGTGATGGTGGTTAACATTTTCAATAGGAATTAGAATAGTGTCGTTACTAATTACTATTTGTAAAAATATGATTTAAAGTTGATCGATATGTAAAAATAAACTCAAAGGATCAATAATAAATGTGTTTGACATGTTTTTTCAAAAAGGTATAGTATTTTTTAATAAATTAATTACTTTTTTGATATTTTATAATAATAAAATAATTACTATTTTTTAAACAAAAACTTATGAGGATAAAATCAAAATTCAAACCAACCACGTTCAAGTGTTTGCTTCTAACTTGATAATAATATGTTGTTTTTAGAGAACATTTCTAGTGTTTTTTCAAGTGCCTCTATATATATAATAAGTGAAGATGATAATAATTGTTATGACAAGTGAGCGTCGTGGATTCAATCCATAATTTATGGTATTGAATAGGGAAATTGTCGAAGTTACATCAAGAAAGTAGTTTATAGTGAATTACAACCAAGACCACGTCCTTAGAGCAACTCGACATTTTAGGGAAAGATGAGTGTTGCAGTGAGAATCAGATGTCAAGCTATTGATTAAATTGAATCTTAATTCATTAAATTCACAACTGGACTTTGATTTATTCAAAGGAAAGGTTAAAGAAGAAAGACCTTTTACGCTATGTAACAACAACGCTGAAAGATTCGGGGATCGAGGGTTGGTTATGCTTAGGGTAGGTATTTCACATCCTAAACATCTGTAGTACTCTACAGGAACATTTTGTATGTTTGTATGCTAATTTACTACCTATGGTTTGAGATCAAGGTTAGGGTTTTGAGTTAATC